GTCCGCGTAGAATTAAAAAAAAAAAACAAAAACAAGTAGCCTATGTGTTCTTCCAGACTATCTTCTACAACTATGGCAAATTTCATTAAAATCCGTTCAGCAGTTTAGGCTACAAACTCTAACAAACATCCATCCATCTAAACTTTTGCATTTAAAATATTAGTAAGATTATAAAAAGTGATTTGGGTCGTATTCACACAAAAATTCTTTCACTATTAAAGAGCTACGTTATCTGAGTAACATAGGCTATATTTTTTATTGTTATTATTTTAGTTTCACGCGAACGAAGTCGCGAGCAACAGCTAGTATAGGCACATGCAAGTGGCTATTCGCTAAAAATTCTTATAATTGCCCATAGACAGTTGTAAATGCGTTATCTATAATTGACAGGGAAGGGGACAAACTGAAAGTAGATATTCTCTTCTGCAAAATCCATTTTAACAACCATTATTTCCTTACAAGTAAAAAAAAAAAAACTGTGGTTAGTATTATGATGTAATTTAAAAAAAATCATGTAAATTCTTCAAAAATGAAGGATTTATTTATTAAGATTGTTAAATGTATAATTTCAGGATAATCTGCGGTTTAACAGCCTTTACGACAAAGAACCACATCATCAGAGCGGCGCTGGAAGCGGTCTGCTTCCAAACTAGGTGAGATATTTGTTTTACAAGACATATCTATAAGGATTATTGTTTTTATTACCAAAAAAATGTGACTACCTGTTGCCGATATTGATTATATAAAAAAAATATCGAAAAACGTACCTAAAATTAAGTCAGTTTTCTCCACCTTTTACTTCCAGAATTCTAATTTTGATCTATGTTATGTTTATATCTATACTAATATAATAAAGCGTAAAAACAGTTATGTGGGATGTCACTTACAGTATATTTTTTGACTGATTTCCCAATAGAATGAGGTACTTAATTCGTCTGTTTTTTTTTATTATTTTTAATTAAAACCCTTACGACACTCTTTAGGTTATATATTTTCACGCTATTAAACTGAGAGAGTAAATAAATTGGAAAAAGGTATCATACGTGAAAGGGACAAAAACTACTAACCAATAGTATAACATTGAAAGTTATACAAATGAAAATAAAACTAGCTGTTGCTCGCGAATTCGCCCGCGTGAAATTAAAAAATATATCCTATGTTATTTACAGATAAATTACCTTTCTAACGGTGAAAGATTTTTTAAAATTGGCCCAGTAGTTTTTGTGTTATTTCAATACATACAAAAATAGAAAAATCCAAATCTTTCCTCTTTATAATTTTAGTATAGATAAAGTTTTTTAATTTCATGCGGATGAAGCCGCACGGGAACAGCTAGTTTGTTATAAACATCGAGATATGTTAAATTTTAAGAGATTATTTTCCCACATTTACGTTACTAAAAAGCTTGATTTATGGTTGTAAATACGCCTATAGTTTGATTTTTTTTTATTTATTGGACATAAACATAATGTGACATTACACAAAAATATTAGAAGCACTAGCTGTTCCCATGCGACTTCATCCGCCTGGAATTAAAAAAAAAAACATTTTATCGTTCATATTTGTCAAATTATCAATAGCAAATATCAAACTGACATGACATGACAAACCTTAGCAATCTTGTTTCCTTAATGTTGGCAGCAACTTATGGTCTCTTTCCTATATTAGGGATTTTATCCAAAATTTTTATTCCTTAAGTTTATTGGCGCGAAAATATATAGCCTAAAGCTTGACGTAAGTGTAGGGCTTTTTATTACAAAGGAATTATTAAAAAATATGCTGTAATTGCTGACATCTTAGGCAACAAAGAATTGTGTGTTTACGCTTTATTATAATAGTATAGATTACAAAAAGTTATAATTTCTATATTCCAGGGATATTCTAGAAGCAATGAACAAGGACTGCGGCGCGGCGCTGAGCAAGCTGCACGTGGACGGGACCATGTCCGCCAACAGCCTGCTGATGCAGCTGCAG